TTTTTATAACCTAAAACGCGTTTCGCCGCTTTGTGCCTTCTTCAGACATTACAAATTAATTATTTTTATATTTATTAAATTCCATTACTTATAAAAGGTTTTATTTATTATCTTTCTGACTGTCCGATATTATGTATTTCATAGAATGTATACTATGCAACACGCTTAATATCTAGTAGAAAAACGTAAGTAAAACCCACAAAGGTCGAACTTAACAGTCCACTTAGCAGACCACGGCCCCATCGACCCAAATCATAATTCTACCATGGTCTAAACCGGTAAAGGCTTATCTCATACTGTTGATAATGGACTCAACGCATTTTTACTCCAGTTGTCATCATCATAAGGTCCTCAGTCCTAAAACTGGTTAAAGTCGCACCTCCACTCCTTCCTACCCTGAGCTAAACTTCGCATTTCCCTAAAACTAGAACAATACACTTTCTTAACTATTTGCGAACAGTAATCTAATCTAGATCTACCCATACCCCTTCCGTTTCTGCCTCTAATATGTCTCTGACTATTTTTTATTGGCTTTCATAGAATCCTCTGTTTTCCTATTCTTTCTAACATCTCTTCATGTTTAACCTTCTCTATCCACGGTATACTTATCATTAACCTGTATCACCACATTTCGAACGCTTCTAACCTTTCCTTTTCCGCCGCGAACACCATCCACGTTTCGCACCCGTACAGCGCCTTTAACAATCTTTTTCAAATTTCTAAATTAATCGTTCGGTAGCATAGCAGTTCTTTTTATTGAACATAACACGACCCTGCGCTATCCTCTGCTTTATATCCCTACTACTCCTTCCGTCCTGACTTATCTGACTTCATACATACCTAAAATCAACCACTTCTTCTAATCTTTCGCCACCTATCTTTACTTTCGTTCTTCCCTACTTTTTCTTCCCATACATACCAGTACGTTTTTAATATTCAATCTAGGTATATGCAATTTATTTGTGTAAAGCATTCCTTTTTTACCAGCAAATATATTCGTCCACCAACAATACACAGGAATAAGTGTTGCAATCAGGATTTATTTCTTCTCATTAGAGGAAACTGCATTTGAAATATTGAAAGTAAATATTGAACAGATTCAACTGTTTCACCCTGTACACTTTTATTTGTTGCAATAGGTTATTAAAATTAATTACTATTGCCAACCCATTTTAATTAGTTTTCTAAGAAGCTAGTTAATTAAAGATAAGTTTTAAAACAACAGCCGATTATCGATAAAGAAAATAAACTATTTCTGTTCAATGATGGACTTTTCGTTTCATTTGGTTGTTACGTGCTGCAACAAGCATAAAAATAGTGTCACTTATAGAGATGGGCTCTACGTATATGCAATTTGCCATAATTATTCTATTAACTGGACGTGAGTAAATTTTAATTGCCTTAATGTTTTTCAAATCTAAATGGGGCAACCCTTAAGATATAGCCTATCCAATAAAAAAGGAATCGTCGAAATCGGTTTACAAACGCCGGAGAAATCGCGCGAAATGAGAGCCCCTTCTAAAGTCTGTTGAAAATTTAATATTTAATAATAATTATATCTCTTAAACACCTCATTAGTTACAATGAGCCAAATAAAATTAATTTTATTTACTTTAATNAATCACCCTCCTTCATTACAAAATTTTGTGGAGCGTCGTTTTGATAGTTATTAACGTAAAAAGAATTTATTAGACCAAAAATATTGCAACAACAATTGTTCACAGGAAAATTACTACTCGTAAAAACGAACTACAATTACGTTTAAGCACAATTTAAATTGATTGACTTAGATTTATAAATAGAAAAATTTAAATTGAAATTTGTGCTGCTCCGAAATAAAATTTTAAGTTGGTCGCTTATTATTATATTACAAAGTTTCAAAGGAATGCCATTTGATTTTTCAATTGTTTTAAATTTTAATTAAAATTCATGGTAATGGTACAATATTAAATAGTGGAAAAGATAAATTGTGTAGGTATAAGGTACCTAAATTTCATTCCTGAAGTATAATTACATAATTTTAACTCGTATAATTTTATTTTTGAATTCGAATGTGGATTATTTTTATGCATATTCTTGAGTTTGCTGCTTATCGTTACTTCAATTCATTGATGTTTGGCAAGAACCTCTCCGATTGAGAATATCGCCTTCAACTGAGCACACGTCATAGCTATGTACGTGGTGGACACATGTACCCAAAGGATTATAACTTTCGGGTTGGTGGATGAAGGTCATTTTCAATTAAAACTACCGATTTATCAAAAGTTGAACCCACAAAGCATAAATTCGAAAAGGTCATTCTCAATTATGAATAAAAGCTTAAAAAACCTTTTGGATGTTACATTACCACAAGATAATAAAGTTGGTGGGCGAGCAGATTCTCTAGACAACGGCAGAGGGTAGGGCAGATGGTCCTTTTGGTTGATGAATCGTATGAAAATGAAGATAGAAGAGAGTGAAAGTTTAATTATTTATCGAATATTACTGCCCCAGCATTCGTCTGAGTGATTCAAGGAAACCACAGAAAAGCAGACAGACCTGGGATCAAACCAATGTCCTCCCGAATGTTAAACAATGTTCTAAACCTCCAGCCAATGTCGCTCGTTCTCAAACTTGAATGAACTTACATTCAGTAGTAAATTTCTACATTGACATTTACCTGTATTGTCGTGTATTACGTGTTTTAAAGTATTTGTTGTTCCAAGTAACAGTATTAGTTTTAGTCCACAAATATGTATTATCTGCTTCAGAGTTAACGAATGGCCATCACTGGGGATACAGCAAAGAAGAACAGGCAAAATGGAAGGAACAGTTCAAATCGTGTGGAGGTCTTCGTCAATCTCCAATTAATATCCATAAAGCCATTGGCAAACGCATGCGTGCATTAAAACTTCGAAATTACCGTGATCCATTACCGGGACCCCTAATGCTGCATAATAACGGTCATACAGGTATGGAAGACGTATTTAACCCATATGAGAATATTGAAGTTATTTAGGTAGGGGATAATTTGTTAATATCCACACATGCAATGGAGTCAAAACTCAACAGAAATTTTGACAAGACCAGTTGAGAATAAGTGTTTTATTCACTTTTGTATTTTCAATTTTTGAAATTGAAATACCATTTTGCAGTGGCTCTAGAAATTGCCCATCCTCCACGTAATCAATCCGTTCCTTATGTAGTTGGAGGTTTGTTGACAAAAACGTACAAATTTGAATCTCTTCATTTTCATTGGGGCGAGAGGAGTGATTTGGGATCGGAGCATACCTTCAGTGGCAAGAGATATCCGATGGAAATGCATATGGTACATAGAAATAAAAATTATCCCACTATGGAAGAGGCAATGAAGCATGCTGATGGGTTAACAGTTCTTGCCTTTTTTTATAAGGTAATCAGCTGCAATTGTATGTAGTGCCTCGAAATAAATATTGAAAAACTACTACAAATATAGAAAAGTACCTAACTGAATGGACTAAAATACGACAGCTCAGTATTCATTAAACTCTACTTAACTGCATAGTATTCGAATGATTTTCCCCATAAATTTAGTATCAAAGGTTAAATAATCTTTAATAATGAAAGACATGCAATGGTTAATACAACTTTGGCATCACTCATCCATGCAACCATTTCTTTACATAAATTTTAAATTTCATTTAAAGTTCATAATATCATTAACCTGTATCACCACATTTCGAANTATATATATATATATATACTATATTGTGTTTCTGTTTTTGTTTAGCTTCATGAAGATAATAACAAACAGCTAGATCAGCTGGTAAAACATCTTCCCAGTGTATACGTTCCTCACGCAAACATAACCTTAACTGAAACGTTTGCACTAACATCACTTATACCCTCTCGCGAGAATATGCGGCGTTACTACATCTACAAAGGATCTCTTACAACACCGCCGTGTTCAGAAGCTGTCACATGGATTGTATTTCCAAGTGCGATGCCTGTATCGGAAGTTCAAGTAATAAAAGATATTCCTTCAGCTTTGAGTAGAAGTAGAGTGTCTTAAAGTTTGGGAGATGATAACTTTCTGTCGCCATTTTATGATTTATAGAGGTCTAGAAAGATCATGGTGGATCTGTCAAATAAATTTCAGTTATTCATTAATCAAAGAAATGAATGCGGAGATGTTTTTGTTTCACTGTGCAAAACGTCATACAATTAAGAAAAGCATCATCATCATCATCATCAAAAGGTCGTCAGTCCGAAAACTGGTTGGACATGCACCTCCACTCTATCCTATCCTGAGCTAATCTTCGCATTTCCCTAAAACTAGAACAACCCATATCATTAACTATTTGCGAACAGTAATCTAATGCAGGTCTACTCGACTTTCCTCTTCTAATACGTCTTTACTTAGTCCTTCATTCCTGAGAACATATTCTACCAACCGAGTCCTCTTACTCTATCTAATACCTCCTTAATACTAACTTTCTCCATCCACAGTGTCCTCATCAAGCTCCTGGAACACCATATCTGGAACACTTCTATTATTTTCTTTTCTGCCGCGTCTACCGACTACCTTTCTCACTCATACACGTCGAGCTCCAGGCACACACCTTACGCGAGCATAGAAGTGACTTCTTTTGGCTAAGGGTGAAACAAAACACTTGCACATTAATTCTATGGCCCACACCAATTTAAAGCTGCGAATTTCCGCAGGTATTTTGAAATCTCCCTATCCATTTTCAAAGTATGTATCACTTGTCATAGGGATTTCTTTAGTAATATTTTTTTTTTGTTTAGTTGAATAAATTTCGAAGCATGTTCGGCCATGACTCCCACACCAAATTGACCAACAACTTCAGACATGTACAAAAAACTGGTAGAAGAAAAGTTTTTGTCCGCATACCTAGACGCAGATCTTCAGAGAAGAAACAGATCATGGAACCATCAGAACCGGTTTAACCAAAGAATGGTGTAGGCTTCTTCATAAATATCGTATGCTTTTTATGTGCAATCAAGTGTAAATCTCTGACGGAGGATATTACTTATATGTCATAAAAGCTATACTTATACTGTATTTTATATGTGGTATAAATAAACTGTTGATTACATGCATTTTACATTTTACAAATAGATAATTTCACTTCGATTCTTCATAATTGATTCAATGCATTTCCAAAAAAATGCACCATTCAATGATAATCCCTTCTTAAAATTTTATTCCTTAACGGCAAGTACAAAAACCCATACAGTCTCATCATCATCATCATAAAATCGTCACTTCTAAAACTGGTTGGGCACGCACCTCCACCCTTTTCTATACTGAGCTAATCTTTTCATTCCCTTAAAGCTAGAACGACACATATCATTAACTATTTACGAACAGTAATCTAATGTAGATCTACCCCTACATCTCCTAACATCCGTTTCAGCTTCTAATATATCTCTGACTAGACCATCATGCCTGAGAAGGTGTCCCACTAATATATCTCACCTCTTTCTTATTGACTTCCATAGAATTCTTTGTTTTCCTATTCTTTCTAATACCCTTCATTTCTAACCTTCTCTATGCACGGTATGCTCATCATTCGCCTAAAATTTCGAACGCTTCTAACCATTTCTTTTCCGCCGCGCTCACTGTTGATGTTTTGCACCCGTACAGCGCCGTACTCCAAACACACCTTTAGCAACCTTTTCCGAATTACTAAATTAACTCCGACTCTTGAAATATTGAATCTACCCCTATTGCAATTATTGATGACATCCCAAGAGGTAGTCATCGCCCGGGCATCCGAATGGGGGACCAGTTTACATCCGGAGTGCTTTACCCCAAAGGACGCCATCATTTGAGTTCCGTTTGTTTTTCTTTGGATATCGAAATGTGGTGGTTTCCCGTTGCCTTCCACATTGCAGTATCGTGCATCACAGTGCCAAACCGATCCTCGCGATCTCTGCCACCCTCAGTATTGAAAACGCCGCTACCCACTTTCAGGGACTTGTCATAGTCTGGTTTCTGTTTAAGACCCCCCCCCCCCATTTGTTTGAACCTATTTTCCGGCTCCCTAAATCTTCAAAACTCGCAATCCGATCTACCCACTGTAGTTTACACAAAAGTTTCGTCAAGGTTCAAGTCCCGTCTATCCACGGTATCCTCATCATTAACCTGTAGCACCACAATTCAAACGCTTCAACCTTTCCTTTTCCGCCGCGATCACCGTCCATGTTTCGCATCCATACAGCGCCTTTAACAATCTTTTTCAAATTTCTAAATTAATCGTTCGGTAACATAGAGGTGTTTTTTTTTATTGAAGGCGACTCGACCCTGCGCTATCCTCTGCTTTATATCCCTACTACTCCTTCCGTCCTGACTTATCTGACTTCCTACATACCTAAACTGAGCCACTTCTTCTAATCTGTTGTCTCCTACCTTTACATTCTCTCTTTCCCTACTTCTTCTTCCCATACATACCAGTATGCTTTTAGTATTCAATCTAGGAATATGTAATTTACTTGTGAAAAGCATTTTCCTTATTAACCACCAAATATATTCATTCACCAAGAACCGCCTTTGAAATATTGAAAGTAAATATTGAACAGATTCAACTGCTTCACCCTGTACACTTTTATTTGTTGCAATAGGTTATTAAAATTAATTACTATTGCCAACCTATTTTAATTACAGTTTTCTAAAAAGCTAGTTAATTAAAGAAAAGTTTTAAAACAACAGCCGATTATCGATAAAGAAAATAAATTATTTCTATTCAATGATTTACTTTTGGTTTCATTTGGTAGTTAGGTGCTGCAACAAGTATAAAAATAGTGTTACTTTTAGAGATGGGCTCTACGTATATGCAATTTGCCATAATTATTTTATTAACTGGACGTGAGTAAATTTTAATTGCCTTAATGTTTTTCAAATCTAAATGGGGCAACCCTTAAGATATAGCCTATCCTATAAATAAAGGAATCGTTGAAATCGGTTTACAAACGGCGGAGAAATAGCGCGAAATGAGAGTCCCTTCTAAAGCCTGCTGAAAATTTAATATTTAATAATGATTATATCTCTTAAATGTCGCATTGGTTAAAATAAGTCAAATGAAATTAATTTTATTTATATATTTTATTAAAATTCATGCCAATGGTACAATATCAAATACCGGAAAATACAAATTATGTAGGTATAAGGTACCTAAATTTCATTCCTGAAGTATAATTACATAATTTTAACTCGTATAATTTTATTTTTGAATTGGAATGTGGATTATTTTTATGCATATTCTTGAGTTTGCTGCTTATCGTTACTTAAATTCATTGATGTTTGGCAAGAATCTCTCCGATTGAGAATATCGCCATCAACTGAGCACACGTCATAGCTATGTACGTGGTGGACACATGTACCCAAAGGATTATAACTTTCGGGTTGGTGGTCAGGGGAAACCATCAGACACGAAGGTCATTTTCAATTAAGGATACCGATTTATCAAAAGTTGAACCCACAAAGCATAACTTCGAAAAGGTCATTCTCAATTATGAATAAAAGCTTAAAAAACCTGTTGGATGTTACATTACCAAAAGATAATAAAGTTGGAGGGCGAGTAGATTCTCTAGACAACGACAGAGGGTATGGCAGAAGGTCCTTTTGGTTTATGAATCGTATGAAAATGAAGACAGAAAAGAGTGATTAAAAGATTAATTATTTGTCGAACTTGTAAAGTTGTACACTGACATTCGCCACGTCGTGCATTACGTGTTTTAAAGTATTTGTTGTTCCAAGTAACAGTATTACATTTAGTTCAGTTCCACAAATATGTAATATCTGCTTCAGAGTTAACGAATGGCCATCACTGGGGATACAGCACAGAAGAACAGGCAAAATGGAAGGAACACTACAAATCGTGTGGAGGTCATCGTCAATCTCCAATTAATATCTATGATGCCACTGGCAAACGCCTAAATCCTTTCAAACTGCAAAATTACCGGGACCCATTACCAGGACCCCTAATGCTGCATAATAACGGTCATACAGGTATGGAAGACGTATTTAACCCATATGAGAATATTGAAGTTATTTAGGTAGGGGATAATTTATTAATATCCACACTTAAAATGGAGTCAAAACTCAACAGAAATTTTGACAAGACCAGTTGAGAATAAGTGTTTTATTCACTTTTGTATTTTCAATTTTTGAAATTGAAATACCATTTTGCAGTGGTTTTACAAATTGCCCATCCTCGACGTGGTCAATCCGTTCCTTATATAACTGGAGGTTGGTTGTCAAAAAGCTATCAATTCGAATCTCTTCATTTTCATTGGGGCGAGAGGAGTGATTTCGGATCCGAGCATACCTTCACTGGCAAGAGATATCCGATGGAAATGCATATGGTACATAGAAATAAAAATTATCGCACTATGGAAGAGGCAATGAAGCATGCTGATGGGTTAATGGTTCTTGCTTTTTTTTATGAGGTAAGCAGCAGTAATTGTAGGTGGTGCCTCGAAATAAATATTGACAACTACCACAAATATAAAAAAACACCTAACTGAAAGAACTAAAATACAACAGCATTATATTCATTAAACTCTACTTAACTGCATAATATTCGAATGATTTTCCCCATTAATTTAGTATCAAAGGTTAAATAATCTTTAATAATGAAAGACATGCAATGGTTAATACAACTTTGGCATCTCTCATTCATGCAACCATTCCCTTAGATAAATTTTAAATTTCATTTGAAGTTCATAATATCTTACATTGATTGAATTGTCTTTCTGTTTTTGCTTAGCTTCGTAAAGATGATAACAAACAGCTAGATCAGCTGGTAAAACATCTTCCCCGTGTCTACGCTCCTCACGCAAACATAACCTTAACTGAAACGTTTGCACTAGCATCACTTATACCTTCTAGCGAAAAGATGCGGATTTACTACACGTACAAAGGATCTCTTACAACACCGCCATGTTCAGAAGTTGTCACATGGATTGTATATCCAAATCCGATGCCTGTATCGGAAGTTCAAGTAATAAAAGATATTCCTTCTGCTATGAGTAAAAATAGAGTGTTTTAAAGTTTAAGGGAAGATAACTTTCTGGCACCATTTTAAGATTTATAGAGGTCTAGAAAGATCATGATGGATCTGTCAAATAAATTTCAGTTATTCATCAATCAAAGAAATGAATGCGAAGCTGTTTTTGTTTCGCTGGGCAAAACGTCGTACAATTAAGAAAAGCATCACCATCATCAAAATCATTAAAAGGTCGTCAGTCTTAAAGTCCTAAAACTGGTAGGACACGCACCTCCACTCTATCTTATCCTGAGCTAATCTTCGCGTTCCCCTAAAACTACAACATCCCATATTCGTAACTGCTTCTGTGTGGACTAAATTAATCTAGGTCTACTTCTACTCCACTTTCTGCTTCTAATACGTCTCTAATTAGGCCTTCATGCTTGAGAAGGTGTCCTACCAATCCATTTCACCTGTTTGCTATTGACTTCCATAATGCCCTCTGTTCTCCTACTCTATCTAATTCCTCCTCAATTCCAACAATCTCTATCCACAGTATCCTCACCATGGGCCCTAAAACCACATCTGGAACGCTTTTATCCTTTTTTTTTCTGTCGTGCTCACCGACGACCTTTCCCACCCATACAGGTCGTGCTTCAGGCACACACCTTTAACAATGTTGTTCGAATTTCTAAATTGCCGAGAATTGAAGTGAATTCCTTTTTCAAGGGCGAAAAAGAACAGTTGCACATTAATTCTTTGGTTCACATGTTTTTGATCTTCCTTGACCTGTATAAAACCGGAAATTTCGGCAGATGTTCTGAGATCTCCCTATCCTTTTTCAAACTATGTATCATTTGTCGTATGGATTTATTTAGTAATATTTTTTTTGCTTAGTTGAACAAATTTCGAAGCATGTTCGGCCATGACACCCACACAAAATTGACCAACAACTTCAGATATGTACAAGACATTGGTAGCAGAGAAGTTATTGCCCGCATACCTAGAATCAAACCACCAAGACCGATTTTTAAACCATGAATGGTGTAGGCTTCTTCATAAATATCGCATGCGTTTATGGATATTACTAATGTGTCATAAAAGCTATACTTCTAGTGTATTTAATATGTAGTGTAAATAAATTATTGATTACAAGCATTTTACATTTTACAAATTGATAATTTCACTTCGATTGTTCATAATGGAGTCAATGTATTTCAAAAAAACTGCACCATTCAATGATAATCCTCCTAAAAGTTTTATTCCTTAACAGCATCTACAGAAACCCATACAGTTTCATCATCATTATCATAAGATCGTCACTCCTACGACTGGATGGACACGCACCTCCACCCATTTCTATACTGAGCTAATCTTCGCATTTCCCTAAAAGTAGAACAATCCATATTATTAACTATTTGCGAACAGTAATCTAATCTAGGTCTACCCCTACGTCTCCTAACATCCGTTTCAGCTTATAATATGTCTCTGACTAGAGTTTCATGCCTGAGAACGTGTCCTACCAGCCTATCTTGCCTATTTCTTATTGACTTCCATGGAGTCCTCTGTTCTCCTATCCTTTATAATACTTCTTCATTTCTAACCTTCTCTATCCACGGTATGCTCATCATTCGCCTAAAATTTCGAACGCTTCTAACCGTTTCTATTCCGCCGCGCTCACTGTCCATGTTATGCAACCGTACAGCGCCGTACTCCAAACAGACATTTAGCAACCTTTTCCGAATTACTAAATTAATTCCGACTCGTGAAATATTGCACCTAACCCTATTTTGCAATTATTGATGACATCCTAAGAGGTAGTCCCCGACCGGGCATCCGAATAGGGGACCAGTTTACGTCCCGTACAGATCCTTTAACAATCTTTTTCAAATTTCTAAATTAATCGTTCGGTAGCATAGAAGTGATTTCTTTTTATTGAAGGCGACACGACCCTGCGCTATCTTCTGCTTTATATCCCTACTACTCCTTCCGTCCTGACTTATCTGACTTCCTACATACCTAAAATAAGCCACTTCTTCTAATCTGTTGTCTCCTATCTTTACATTCGCTCTTTCCCTACTTCTTCTTCCCATACATACCAGTATGCTTTTAGTATTCAATCTAGGAATATGTAATTTACCTGTGCAAAGCATTTTTCTAATTAACCACCAAATATATTCATTCACCAAGAACCGCCTTTGAAATATTGAAAGTAAATATTGAACAGATTCAACTGCTTCACCCTGTACACTTTTATTTGTTGCAATAGGTTATTAAAATTAATTACTATTGCCAACCTATTTTAATTACAGTTTTCTAAAAAGCTAGTTAATTAAAGAAAAGTTTTAAAACAACAGCCGATTATCGATAAAGAAAATAAATTATTTCTATTCAATGATTGACTTTTGGTTTCATTTGGTTGTTAGGTGCTGCAACAAGTATAAAAATAGTGTCACTTGTAGAGATGGGCTCTACGTATATGCAATTTGCCATAATTATTTTATTAACTGGACGTGAGTAAATTTTAATTGCCTTAATGTTTTTCAAATCTAAATGGGGCAACCCTTAAGATATAGCCTATCCTATAAATAAAGGAATCGTTGAAATCGGTTTACAAACGGCGGAGAAATAGCGCGAAATGAGAGTCCCTTCTAAAGCCTGCTGAAAATTTAATATTTAATAATGATTATATCTCTTAAATGTCGCATTGGTTAAAATAAGTCAAATGAAATTAATTTTATTTATATATTTTATTAAAATTCATGCCAATGGTACAATATCAAATAC